ACGACGCGACAGATTTCGCCAGAACCCAAGGAAGGAAAAGTTCGAGAAAAATCGAAAAATCAAAACTTTATACAGAATTACGAGATTATGATTCCAACGAACCTGTAATCGCAGATCGATGCCTTTTCTTGAAATATTGTTGGAGAAACCCTAGATATAATATAACCAAGCAAGGGCGGGAATTCCAGGCACAGTACGGCGTCGTTTGGTCAGTTCTTCTTACACCAACAGAACTACGTGTCGTCCGTCTCTAAACCATTGAGACTACATACAGTTTCTAAAATGAGGCAAAACGAAACTGATGGCCGTCGATGGGTTTACATGCCACCTGTGGAAATCCTAAAGAGTTGTGTTCCACGTTTCAGTGTACTATCCCACATGATAGTATTTCCAGTCACACGCAGGCAAACGAAGAATCCTTAGTCACACTCTCACACGGAGCGCTGTAAGTAGTGATTCGTCGTCTCTCCTGGGCGGAAGAGGACGAGATCCTCCACTAATTGAAAGATACCCATCTTTTGTTTCTCGAATCGATTCGAGTTCATTCATCAAAAACCCAAATTTTACTTTTGGTTTCTGCTTCGATTGTTCGCATTCTGGTTTTCGAACGATGGGACGAGGCAAATTCAAGGGGAAACCCACCGGCCAACGCCACTTCTCTCATCCAGATGATTTGCGTGAGTTTTTGTGTTTCTTTTTACGGTTTCTGCTCGTATTATATGGAAGAAGTGTAAAAGCACATCACTTTTACAATTACAAAGCCGTTTAATGTTTGGAAACCTGTTAAACAACATGGAGGAGTTGTGGGTTTGTTGTTTATCTGTGTTCTGTCGAGTTGTTTGGTTTTTAGATTATTACTCTTCATTCGTATGGGTGTGTATTCCATTGAAATTTGCGATCTTGAACTATATGAGTTGGGGACATATTTGTTTGTCTCTGAAGAACTTAATGTCGGAGCATACCCTTTGTTTGCTTGATCTGTAGAGGTCCTTGTAATCTTTGGCTGTATTGATGGGTTTAGATTAATTGTGATGAACTGAATTATGTGCTTCTATCAAAGCTCTGCCCCGTGATCGTTGTGGCTTTGTTCTCTTCTTATTTATCCTTTTAGAAACATATCTGCGTTGAGCTCTGCTCTATCTTCTGGCCTTTGACCTTTTATTTTAATGACTTTACTGTTTGCCTTTCTTGAGTTCACCTGTCATTCCTTTCGTATCAGTTGTGTTCTTGAATGAACCTTGCTAGGCTTGCATCATGTTTTTCGATATTCTAAAGCGTACCACCTGATTTCTTTGGTGATTCTAGGGTACAGACCCCTTTTTTTTTCTGCAACTTGAAATGGCACTTTTTCTATCAAGATTGGAGCTGATCAGAATCATACTTTGATTTATTTGATATTTTCTTTTAATATCGATATGCAGGTGCTGGCACCTCTTCAGCACGTCCTCGATCATTCAAACGGGTAGATTGTTCTCCGCTTTCTCCCCATTTTTTATGTTTGTGCTGTTTGTGTGTGACAACTGACGAGTGCATGGCATCAACAGGAAGAAGCTGAGTATGAACGCGAGGAAGAAGAAAATGAGGAGGTGGTGGTGGAGGAAGAATCTGATGGCGAAGTTAGTTAAACCATGTTTCATCCATTCTTTGTAGTTTCTAATTATTTGAAGCACATAACTGGATTCATAGAAATTATATCTTACCTTTATTAATATAATGCCAGGAGAAGAAGAAAGGACATGAAAATCTAATCGAAGTTGAAAACCCTAACCGAGCAAAACCAAAGACTGTAAAAGCCAGAGACCTCGACGTAAGTTTTTTTTTATCAAGTCAATTTGTTTAAATCTAAACATCTATCTGAACATGATGTCTTTCTCCTTAATCTGCCCAGGTTGGTAAAACCACTGAACTTTCAAGGCGGGAAAGGTCCGTTGTTATTGCTACCGAGCTCTAAAAATTACACGTCGTATTGATATGGGAAGAAACTTGATGTGAATGAAAAGAAAGATTTATCACGCATTTCTCAAAGTTCATCGTTCTTTTTTGTTAATATTGATTTGTTTACAGAGAGGAGCTGGAGAAGCAGAGAGCTCACGAGCGGTACATGAGGCTGCAAGAGCAAGGCAAAACCGAACAAGCGAGAAAAGATTTGGGTAAAGAAAGAGTAAATTTTTCGTTTCATCCTTCGTCTTTTTTGCATTTTGATTGTTTCCTCGCGAATGCAGAGCGTTTGGCTTTGATACGCAAACAAAGACAAGAAGCTTCTAAAAAGCGAGAAGAGGAGAAAGCTGGTAAGAGTAACGATATCCTTATCCGTAATCGTTCTTTTCCATATCCAATTACCAATGCTCTGATGTTAATGGATTTCTTCTTGCAGTTAGAGAGGCGAAGAAAGTTGAAGCTCGCAAATGAAGAAGTTCCTCGAGAAACCTTTATTGTAGTAAAAAAAAAATGATTCCTCTGGATTTATTCCGGAAAAAACTTACGCGTTGGTGCCTATTGATAAAGGAAACTACTTGTGGTTGGAACACAGATCGTGGGCATCTCCCCGATCGAATGGAACTTGAGTTATTCCATACTTTGACTTGATAGATTTCTCTGTTTCATGCGTGCCCTTCCTGTTTTTGAACGTAACTCTGTTCTATGAGCTCCTACCAATGTTTTTTTTATGTTTGACTTCTGTTCTGCTTTGGCTCTTGTTTCTATGATCCGGACCGGAGATTGGTTCAAGACCTAATGGCATCTGAAGAACAGCCCCGTAATTCGGATTTATCAGACAAGAACCAAAAATTCAGAAGAAAATTATGCAAACCGGTTTACCTCCCTCCAGAAAGATACAAAACAGGTCATTAAAAAACAATAGAACACAGACAAGAAAGAGTCAACCGGAGCAGCATCCGGTGGACTTGACAGCCGTGACGTCATCCTTGGTCCCAATATCGATGGTCTGCCCCTTGGGGAGAGCCGCGGAATCTGAGCCAGGGTCGAGGGTTTTCCGGTTGGTGACTCGGTAGATCTGAGTCAAGACGTGAGTGAAACAGGGCTCGACGTTGGTGGAATCGAGGGCAGAGGTCTCCATGAAGAACATGTTTTCCCTCTCGGAGAAGGACTTGGCCTCGTCGGTGGGTACGGACCGGAGGTGACGGAGGTCGGCCTTGTTTCCGACCAGCATTATCACGATGTTTCCGTCCGTGTGGTCCCTCAGCTCCTTCAGCCACCTCTCCACGTTCTCAAACGTTATGTGCCGAGTTATGTCGTACACCAACAACGCTCCCACCGCTCCTCTGTAGTATGCGCTCGTGATGGCTCTGTATCTATAGAACAAGGGGTCGACGATTCAATATATATATATATATATATATATATATGTATATGTATAGAGAGAGAAATAGAGAGGAGAGAGAAGCAGATACCGTTCCTGGCCGGCGGTGTCCCAGAGCTGGGCTTTGATGATCTTGTCGTCGACATGGACGCTCCTGGTAGCGAACTCGACGCCGATGGTGGATTTGGACTCGAGACTGAACTCGTTTTTTGTGAATCTCGACAAGAGGTTGGATTTTCCGACACCTGAATCTCCGATCAGAACTACTTTGAACAGATAATCGTAATCGTCGTCTGCCCTGTATGCTCCCATCTTTACGATCGATTGATCGATCTTTCTCCACAAACCCAGAAATGAATTTAAAAAAAAAAACTGAAAATTTTTATGTATACCGAGAATCTTGTCTGAGTTCTTGGAGGGTATAGGACGTGATGATGTGCTTGATTTGTGCTCTGTTATGGAAGCGTAAACAGGGTAGTGGGTGGCAACGAACCGTGTTTGGTTTCGTTATTTTTCTCTTTTAGTTGTTTTATTAATTCTTTAATAATATATAAAAAAATGCATGAATGATCATTCATAACCTTAATGTATATATATTTATATGTGTATATATATGGTTTGAAGACATTGAATTGAAGAGATCAGACATGCTTTTGTTCTACTTGTTACATGTTTGACGGAATCTTTTTGTTGATAAGCGGCCATGACTTGGTAATGCATAAAAGCAAAGATATCCGATTTTTTGAAATAGTTTTCCTTTTTTTATTAAAAAAATAGTTTTCCGAAATAGTTTTCTTGATCAAATATTTTTTCATTAAATATAGGGCTAATACCATTTTCGTACTACCCCTATATTACTTTTTACTTCTCCCCCCAATTTGGCAATTTTTTTTTTAATATTTCAATATCCAAAGTTATATGTTTTCCTACCCGTATAAACTATCTTTTTTATAATAGATAAAAAATTATCATCAGCGTACTAACCCACTTTTTTTTTTCAAAATACAATTTGATCAATTTAGCCAACTATTTTTTTAAAAAATAGATATCAAAATATTTGAAAATACAAATTGAAGTATTAAAATACTGAAAAAAAGCAAGTGAAATACTAAATTAAACAAATACAAAAGCGACTATTACCTTCAAATACATTCAAAGTCTTGGTAAAAATTCAAATCTATTCTGTTTACAGGAAAAAAAAAAAATCCGAAATGGCTTGCTTGACTTTATCCTACATTCGATCGCACAGCTTTCTTTATACATTTTGTTTAAGAAATTAAACAAAAAAAAAAACAAATCAAAATACATGAGCTTTCAGTTGACTTGAGCCCTTACTATAATCCTATCCTAACGCAGGAAATGGTCCAAACACATCTCTTCTCCAAACTCTCCACAGGTTCACGTCGTCCCCCATCCTTGTCCCTCGCCGCCGACAAGAGTTAGCTCTATCTTCTCCGGTATATCTTTCTCTCTTTTTTTTCTTTTTTTGATAATATATGATTGCCAGGATTCGAACTCTGGGCGTGGCTAGCACTTTGTGCTTCCACAACCACCAGACCACCAACTCCTGGCGCTCTCTCTCTCTCCTCTTGTTCATCTCATTTCCTAAATTATTCATGTCGGACAAGGGTTAGGGTTTATTTTGGCTCTCGTAATTTCTGTTTGATTCCAACATCCCTGAAGCTTTGTCCAATCATGGCTTTGGTAGTTCAGAGAAGGGTTTTGGGCTCTTTCGTAGCCATGTGTCGGAGAAGGCTAATTTTGTGTTCTGTGTCCGAAGTTTGGGCACTTATATGGTGTCATGCGATGATATTTTTTTTTTATAATCCATGCGATGATATCACTGCAACATTACATATATCCATGCCATGATGTTGCCATAATTATCCATACATGACTAACCGACACGCAGCAACGAGATTATAACGCTTTCACACACCGTTCGTTTGATTTTCCAGTTTAACTTCGACTAAAAACATTACACACATATATATATACGCACGCACAAGACCACATAAGCTTCCTCTGTCGCCTTCTAGATCTTCTATATCTACAAATAGAACCACAGAATTTTAGCACTTTCATTATAATAATGGACATTTACATGCATGATGGAAGCGAGAACGACAACGTTTCGGTATATTTATTACATGTCATGCATGCATGCATGCGAGTGGCTCACCAGATAGTAAACGGCACCGTCTTGGAGAGGGTGGAGAGTGCGACCCCATTGGTCGGTGAGAATGGGGTGACCTGACGAGTTTATCAAAACGGCGTCGTTTCCAAAAGCCTCTCTCACGTTGAACTGCTGTCCAGACGCCACTTCGAACGGCATGTCGTTGATGAACACCATAGACTTCGCCGCCAAATCACCACATTGTCCAAACATATTCTTGTCTAATCATTTAACAATACATTAAAACCCAAGAGGATACCACATTTCGGTTTATACACAATGTTATGTATCATATAAGGATCTAATAGATCAATATATCATATATCTTGTAATTGATTATAATTAAAACCGAAACTTTAAGATAAGATTTCGGTTAACCGACCAAAAGTTACAGAATAACCGAAAGGTATACGGTCGTCTCACAATTCACGATACATGCCCCACATGAATCCAAAGCAGTAGTCAATCTAAAGACCAAAACGTCTTTCCCACAAAACATGCGTCCGTTACGTTACCCAAAATTCAAGTCTTAGTTCGTTTATCATGCACTTGCCATAAACTCAACACATATCATACGTACATATACATGCATGTAGCTACTTTTGCGTATACATATAATTAATATCTGTCAACAATCATGTATATGTATATATATGTACATGCATGCATCCATGTTATACGTATACCGGAGTGTATCTAAACATTATATATATGCACCATATTGAAAAGAAAAAAATAACTCAATTTATAATTTCCATGTCTAAGAACAGTACCTTGGATCTGGTTCATGATGGATGGGACTGTATCGGCAGAATACTCGCCGGAGAAAGGAATCTCCGGTTCAGTTACTGCCGGCACAACAACATCACTCGGCTGATGATCGCTATAACCAAAGCCCACTTGGGTTGCACTCGGTCCATCATGAACCGGGAGGTGAAAACCGGCCGGTTCTGTTACCAGAAAGTCGTTGTCTTGACCCGGAAATAAACCGTATTTCTGGTGCACCGGACCGCCACTAGGGTTGGCCCCGTCGCTTCCACTAGTAAGAGCAGGACTGATGTTGTTATTGCTGATGCTGTGGTCTGAACCGGGCGATCGGAGGTTCTGTTGGAGAAGACGAAGCTTGTGTTTGGTCCGAGACTTGCGGTTTTGAAACCAGTAGAAAACATTTGCATCTCCGACTTGTCCGTACTCTTGAAGTCGGATTCTGATTTTCTTAATCTCGTCTCTTGGAGGGTTAATCATACCCGAGTTGAAGATCGATTCGAGTATTTGAATTTGCTCAGGTTTAGGGTTCCATCTCGGTTTAGGATGCGGTACACGATCTGATGCATTCATCGATTAATGATCACCTTACATTAATCCGAATATTCTGTGCATGATAATAGATTTTTCATGCCTGCATATATCTGTACACGCGCTTTTCTTTTGATATACATGTATATATACGTATATGTTACAGTACATGCACATACACGCTTCCCCTACTCCTTTGATCTTATACATACACAGAACAATTGCTGAGAAGGGTGATTTTGCATAAATATGTGCATGCATTACATTTATGTGTGTACAAGTCTATAGATGCATGAGTATGTATACGTATATGTACCTGGGGCTGTGGTGAAGGCGGGAGATGAGGGACAAGCAGAATAATGCGTGAAGGAAGGAGTATGGATTTCATCATGATGATGCACTTGACGGTCGTGGTGATGATGATGATCGCCGCAGGGTTTGGACCTGAACATGCTTGGCCAGTTCTTGTTCGATGATGCCATGATGATGATGATGATGGTGACGATGATTTTTTTCTTCTTCTTCCCAAAGGTGGCTAGGGCAAGAGGCTAACAAGTTTCATCTCATTATATAGAAGCCTCTTCACCAACCCCCTTTGCGTGTGTTCTCAATTCAATTAATACAAACACGTACAAAAAAAAAAGACGAAATATATGTACGTATATACATGTATATTTGCTTATATTTATTAAAGTGTATGGTGTGTGTGTATATATATTAATTTGAATAGGAGGTGGCTGCTAGTAATAAATTTCCTCCGAAATCATAAAATGGACCATGGTAAAAGAAGATCCTCTGCTGTCTATCACTTTTTAAACCTTAAACCTGTATCCATTATTTTCGTTAATCAGAATCATCTAAATATATTTTCCCTTTAATTATTTAGACAAAATTTTCAATATATTCGAAGTTATGCATAAATTAACTTACATATTTCATATTTTTTAAAAATTTATTTGGTATTGATTATTCAAATTAAGTAAGATCGGGTTTTGGGTTGACTCGAGGGATCTCCATTTATTCTACTCATTAAAGAGATTCCAAATGCTGGTTTTCGACTATTAATTTCCTCCTCATTAAAAATATGAAGGATTTTATTGAATACTTGTTTTTCCTAATTATAAATGGTTCCATACGCAACTTGTATCCGAATGATAATGTGAAAACGTCAAAGAAATCCTGTGAATTTCAAAACTCCGAAACGATTTCACCGTTCAAGGACTCCACAATTAAATTATGCACAGTGAAATTGAAATATTTATTTATTTATTTACTTATAGAATGTGACCGTGTGTTCGTCGGAGCCAAACGTCACCGTTTCATTCTTGGGTGAAGAGACAAACAAAGACAAGAAACGGTGATAGATGATAGCTCCAGAATGTACGGAAGACTTAAAGACACATTTCTTCTCTTCCTCTCAACATACTTTTTATTGTCGATTTCGTATTTACAGTCACATTTTTCACTGCGCCACATTTCAGGAAAATTGTAATTTTCATGACGCTTTTTTTCCAAAAGGTATTTCAATTATTAGACAAGTCGACGTACGTAATCATAATGTTATGTGCATGGCACCCGCCGCATGATAAATTGTTTTACTACTGTAATTTTTTTAAATCTACACGTGTTAAATTCCTTAAAACTTTTATCAAAATGCACATCAAGAAATGACGACCACGCATATTCACTTATATCTAGATTGTGAAAATGGCAAATATAACGAATGGTGGATTCGTAATTTCGAAGAGAGAGAGAGAAAAAAGGAAATGAAAAAGGAGGGAGCAAAACGAGATGAGAAGCGTGTAGGAATGGTAAATGTGACAAAATTAGAAACCATAGGTCAAAATGAAATAAATTGATTGTCTGGTTTCGTTTTCATCCCATCCTTTCTCTCACCACCCACTCAACATGCCCACACTCCTACATTTCCTTATAAATTATCCAAGTATATGAATACAGATACATATATATATATATAACTTAGATATTAACTCTAGGCTCTTACAATGAATATATACAATCTATACAAATAAATTGTTAAAATGCATCTTTATCAATTTATTTATTATAATGATAAAGATGCGGTATTTTAAATGTAGGCTTCTACAATAAATATACGAACGAACATGAAACTATATTTAAATTTATGTAGTTATTACCCAAGTTTGGATGGCTTAGTGGTGAGAGAACATGCAAAGCATGCTCTCACTCTGGGTTCAAATCCAAGCGTGGGGAGGGGCATTCACATGGGCTTCTCCGATCCTCCGATCCTCTGGGAGATGTAGTTGAGCCAAAGCTCCGGTGAACTTCCGGACTATCCAAAAAAAAAAAAAAATTTATGTAGTTATTAAGTTGAATATTATAGAAAATATAAATTAATATAAAAGCAAATCCGTTGTAGTCTAGGTGGTTAGGATACTCGGCTCTCACCCGAGAGACCCGGGTTCAAGTCCCGGCAACGGAAATTTCTTTTTCCTATTTAATTATTTATGGATGACCATATTTTTTAGCGGGAAAATTGATTTAGTTATTAGGGTTCTACGGAGCTTGAATGTTCTGATATCAGTTTGCGAACTGTGTTTTTTCTTTCTCCCTTTCTTTTCTTCACTAAGTGAGAAGAGGTTGCGATGGTGAAAGAGACAAAGGGTAATGTTAGCAGAGTGATAAGTAATGGCGGAGGCATGGAAGCGAACACCTTGGCGATCCTCGACGCCAACGACGCCAAACATACCATCGACGCTAACGAAGATCGTTTGTTCTCTTAGTTCTTCGCCCTAATTTCTCGTTGATTCTTCCTTTTATTCCCCGAACTTCTCCGAAATTTATTCTTATTGTTGTGATCGTCAATGTCATACACTAGGCTTGCAGTATCTGGAAGCTGTTCGTGGCGCATCACTTTTACCCGGAACCGGAATTCCTCCAACCAAGTAATATATATTCTCTTCGCTGGAAATCTTATAAATTTTGTGCAAAGTCCCAGATTTTTCAATATTTTGTTTTTGTTGCTTGACTAATGGACTGGGTTTGAAATTTTGAAGCAAAATGTACCAAGCGATTTTCCGGATATTGAGGTTCGGAAGAACTTTGGAACTCATAGTGGCAAGTTTCCAGCTTTTGACCGAGCTACATAAGGTGTTCAGTGGATTATGTTGGTAGTAGTAACAAATTGTGCTGATGACTTGGTTTCAAGGTTTGCTTGCAACTGTGTTCTTACATTGTTATTTTCTTGAGGTGAAAATAGCGGTTTCCCTGGGTTTATATGTCTGATTCAACTGCTGCTGATGGGCAACGTCAATTAGAAATAGTTGATGAGGTACTCGAAGTTCCCGTCATTTACTTGACATGTTTTGTGTTCATTCCGTGAATTTCCTGTCATTGGATGTGAATTTCTTATCTTATTTTGGCAGGCTTGGTCACCGTTTGATTTTGGAAGCGGTGTTGATTCTGGTGACAAAGAAATATTTGTAACAAGCTCAGGTTGCTCATTGATCATCTCTGAGAAACCTTTTGGTTTATGTTTTTAGTTGGTTTGGTTTTTCTTTCTGTATTCGATTCTTATGCTAGAGAGATATCTGACTGAATCAGTTGTGAAAGTTACATTCTTTTTCCGCTTTGTTTTGTTTTTTACTTCCCTGGATTCAGGGTTTCAAAAGCTGATTCAAGATCTGACTGAGGCTGGTAATGGAATTGAGTCTCAGGAATTAGATACAAAGGTTGGTTCTTTTATTCCTATGGTACACTAGAGGACTTCACAATTTCCTAAGATGAGAGCTTTTGACCGAAAAACTCAATCTGCAGTGAGATGCACTTAGTTTCATGTCAACGAAGGAAAAATCATAAACCACTTTAGTCGTCTTTTTTTCCTGTGATTTTGCCTTCCCTGTTTCTTGTTCAGTCAACTCTCCACAGTAATAACTTTGACACTGTTTCTCTCTGTTGCCCTACGGTCGGTGATGTTATAGGTCTTGGGAAACATGTTGCTGTTTCAGTTTCTTGTTAATGTACTTGAGGAGGATTTCACACCTCGAAATCGGGTGTATAAAGGTACAAATATCATCTTCCATTTTCGAGCTCATGAGGAAATTCCAGCAGCCTGATAGCTTTTATTCCCCAGAAACCATGAACTGGAATCTTTTAAAGGAGTCTTCACTGAACCTGCTTCTGGTACATTCCGGCCTTTTATGATCAATCGGTCACAGAATCTTGTGCAGTCCTGCACTCATGTTTTGATGTTTATCATATCGATGACTCCACCTGCAGGCTTCAAGAAAAATAAACTTCAAACTCCTGATGAAGGATTGCTTATCTACAGTGTGTACACCGTGCATTGATGATGCTGTGACAGACAGCAATGAAGACCCTGAGTGTTCAGTCAAGAACAGCAACACTTGCCTTGAAATTAGTTTAGTTGAGAGAAAGAAGAGTACACTCTGTGCTATGAAGAAACTTATAGTAACGGTAGTTTAACTATTCATAATCAGAATAAAATTACCCTTGAAGTTTTCACTCTCTGATATGCGCCTTTAACAGATTATGGAACTTGACGTATCAAAGCAGAAAGCAGATCTAGAGGGAATTACTACAAGAGGAGACAGCGTAAGGTATTTAACAGGTTCTTCCGGGCGAAACTCTGTTTCTTAAGTGGTGTGTACACCGCCCGCTCTCTTGAACTAATGATTGGTCGTTGACACAGAACTCCTGCTCTGGATTTAATCGTCAATGAGCTAGCTTATGATGAATACTTGTTGTCGACTTTCCTTCAGGTATATGGTATAACTTGTGTTTCTTCTCTCTCATTCTATCTATCTACAAGATGATCACATCTGATTCTTTGTCTGTAATCTTTAAAGGGTCGCTATGCAAGAATTTGTTTCGCTCTACACTTGCTTCTTAGTTCTTAAGGAAAGTGGTTCTTGCAGGTTTTCGATGATCCTAAATGGAAGCTAGACATCATTCTCCAATACCTTGCGAAATACATTCACAAGGTTAAGTCATATGTCCATCCATTTTCCTATTCACTTCCTCTGGTAGTAGTAGTAGTAGAGCATCTTATGAATGAAGTTTTCTAGGTACAGCCGTCCGTTCGTACACGCAGATCAAACAGTCCTCCAGCAGAGGATTCAACAACTCTTGGAGGAGTCTTGAAGTGCTTGTCGAATGGGACAACTGCAAGGAGCATTACCAGAAAGATCGGAGCTGATATCATTCAGATCCTCATCGGACACGCATTTCTTGTAATCTTTCTTCCCTTAAATTATCGCATTGAAAAAGTTCAAGCTCTGATTCTGATCACATTATTCATGTACGGCAAGAGTCCGAAGATTCCTCCTTGTAGCTTACCTCAAGTTCTTTTCTTTTCTTTTTTTTTTCTCTACACCTACGATTATTTTGATCAAATATCTGCAGGCTTGGTTGGCATCAAATTCATTTCAGCAAGAAAAAGATGCTTCGGAACCTAAAGAAGGCAATTCTGTAACAGACATGTGCAGTAGTGTTATAGCGGTCTTTACAAATCTGAAACAAATGGACAGGTAAGCTGCAAATTCTTGTCTGTCTTAATAACATTTTATTGTTTAGTCACACGCACGCTTAAAACCCATTCGGTTACATGGGTCTGGAGAGAAAGCTAAACTTGTGAGATTTAACTAGTCCAACTCATGTACAGGAAAATCGAGATTTTACCATTTGGAAACGAAGCACTGTTTACCGCTATAACAATTCTCAACTCAGGAAAATCCTAGGATGGATGACCAAATGCATGATTCAGCAGATCTACAGGCTACCATTAGAAGAACAAGGAAAATAATTAACTTGTAATGTATGCTCTCATGGTAGAGTGAACACTGTAATGTTTTGCATGAATATCTATCACAATGTATCTCTTAAATGAAAGATGTACCGAAAAAGTTTTCCAGACAAACAAGCTGACTAGCAATCTTATGATTCTGTTGGCGCCTTTGCCTCATTCCTGAAACAATTAGATCGGTTTAGCAAAACAATATCCTCTAACAGGACAGCATGCAAAACCCAGTGATTAGCATTATCCAGGTGATGGAATGGAATGCCTACTTGGAAGATTGGAATGAGTCGAGCTGCATAGTGACTGGCCCATCATTTACAAGATTGACCTATGCATGTCATGAGGTATGATTAAATCCATGTACTTGTTCTATCGTATTATATGTAACTGGTGACTAAAACACCACTGGTAGGTATAATAATCTTACCTTCATCATTGCTCCAAACACGCCATCTGCAAAGGAACAGTTGTTCAAGTTGAGATAGCTCGAGATGTAGTTAAAACTATATCATGTTGATTGATGGATCATAGATATTATGGCCATAAATTTAATTTAGCTAATCAGGTTGATAATGCCTGTATGAACCCTGAAAATTTCAGACAAAGTTAACAGGAGATCCAAGACTAGTAGTGTCCAACAAAACATTTGAAACTATTCAACTCAAGTCAATTGGTAATTGACATAATTAGATCAAATGTGTCACAGAATTAGGTCAAATGCGAGGTAGATTTAAAGTCGGAAAAAGGGAAAAACTTTTATTCCATGTGGCTATGTCTTCCTCAATTCCGACTTCCCACAGCTTCTGCTTGTCTAAGTGTACAATAATTTTTGTTGTTTCAAATGTACTGGTGTTTCAGAATTTAGCTCTTCTTTTCCCGTCTCTTCTGTATTTAACTTAGTGTTCAGGTGTCACATTGTTTCACTAGTTTCCGGAAAGTTACTGGATTCTCTATACTCAAAATTCTTGCGTTTGTCTTCTACAGCTCTGTTTATTTAAGCAATTAATCCTACAAGTTTTGATCTCTGAGAATGGCAGTGGAACTTAGGATTTGTCCTTTGTGAAGTGATATGGACTCAGTGGTCGCCTTATATTCCGGTTTGGCTTGTGTTTCAACTTGAAATTTTTGTTGGCTGCTTTGCGTTCAGCATGTCATTGAGCCGTCCTCATGATTATCTGCTAGAAAATTTTCCTGGTTACTTCTGTATTTGCAGTTTCCAAGGTACATATTCACCAACGTTGGCAATGACTGCACCAGCCCAGGAATGCTTGATATAGGCTGATGAAGGAAAACCAAGTGAGATTAGATAAAGTTACCTTTTACTGCATCAGGATTGTATGCCTTTCGGAACCTCTCGACCAAAGAAGCGTAGAAAGGTTTCGCTTTCTCGGGTGGCATTGCCACATGAAAATCAGGCTTGTTACCCTTCAAGAACCCGTACAATGTAAACTGGCTAACTGTACCACAGGATCAGCATCAGAGAAACAAGACAGCATAAACAATGCCTCGATATTCAACAGACTTCCATGGAACAAAAAAAATTGTCAAGAGAGATAAAGCTATTGGTTCAGCCAGAAGGTACAAGAAAGATTTTACAAGAGCCCATTTGACATATATAGTTTGAGCAATCTACTGTGAAGTAATTGCGGGAATGTGAAAATTTGACACAAAGTCTAAGCAGATTTATCTTTTCAAACCCTTCTCGTAAAGAATCAAACTTTGCACCAGAAGGCAAAAAATTAGCAGAAACACAAAAGCAGAAGATAGGGATAAAGAATACCTAGAAGAACTCCATAATTTCTCTGCATTACCTGCAAGATCGCGTCAAAACATCCAATCCTATGATGTCAACTCTCAAGCATATGAAAAATGAAATCATTTGATAAAAAAAAAATGTTCGGAGAGAAGATTTACATTCTGGTCCCATCCTCTGCCACTACTCTCATTAGGGAACAATCTCATGTTCAAAACTTTCCGGCATCTACAAGCCAAAAACTCCAGAAAGCAACACTAATTTCAGAATCTGCATATTTATCATACGATTAGGAAAGGAAAAAAAATCAACTTTCTTATCGCATACATGTACTCGGCATCAGAATCGGTGTCCGATTCGTGGATTCCGACGAGAACCAAGAGGCCTGGTCCAATCTCCGACACGATGCGACCATCCACCTGAAACATTTCGGTTCACAAGCCCCGGTCAAGTGAAATGCCATATGACATTGTTAGAGGGAGAGACAGAGGGGAGAGAGAGAGATACCGCGACAGTTGCGGAAGAGACTCTCTGGATGACGGTTCTCATGGCTCTAACTTGAGAATCCCGGCGATGAAGGCGCAGACCACGGCGGGGCAGACGGTGGTGGAGGCTGCTTCGGCGGCGGAGGAGGAAAGGCGAGAGCTTGTTGCCCCGTTCGTTGGTGCGAAGACAGGAAATTGCAGGAGCAACACAGTACATTTTCTTCTTGTTTTATTTTTTTTTTCGGTTTAATTTTCCCGAATCAAAATAATCTTTTTGCAATTTAGATTTTTCGTCAAAATTCGTATAAAAAATACTATTTTCCACGTGGACCTTCTTAAAGATTCAGAAGGTTTTGCGTTAGGAAATAATGACTGGCTCCGGTGCTGGAGGGAAGCGAGATGAAGGAGATTCAGATGGTGGTGCCTACAGACGCCACCGATATTTTAGATTCGAAATCTCATGTTAACTATATTTTCAGTATTAAGCTAATTATTTTAGATACGAAAATTAACTAATAAAAATTTATTAAAACATAAAAATACAAAAAATTAATTAAAATTTCATGCTAACTATATTTTCAGTATTAAGCTAACTATAATTTCAGTATTAAGCTAACTATATTTTCCGAAAATGGCGGTCGTCTCATAAAAATATAATATTATGTTTTTGAAAGAAAAGAACTAAATATATAAAAAAGATAAAGAGTAAAGCGTTGACGTGGCTGTATGTATTTATATACAGCCCAAATTTTTATAAGAGGCCGAAATATCTAAAACATATAAAGATCCAGTAAGGCCCATTAGCAAATCGTTACCCAGCCCAGCGAATTCAAATCCTCCTCCAGAGCGCCGTCGGCGATTTTCTCGCCGGAGCCGTCGTCTTGTTCCCGTCCGATCGACTTCAGTGCCGATCAACGTTATCCATCGAGAAGCAAATTTTCCGGTAAGCTTTTCTCCTCTTTCGCCACTGCTGTTCTGGCTGCGATCTGTTCAATTCGTTGATTAGGTTCAACGATCGTTGATCACATTCGATCAACAATAACATCGTCGAGGAAGCGATTCTATGTCGGAGTTACGTTTGATCTCTGTTTCATCACCGATCAAGTTGAGAAAAATCCGTGCAACCGACGTTAGGTTAAGTTTGATTTTGTCTTAGGGGATAGTTTCGTACATTTTATTCCATGTGGCTATGTCTTCCTCAATTCCGACTTCCCACAGCTTCTGCTTGTCTAAGTGTACAATAATTTTTGTTGTTTCAAATGTACTGGTGTTTCAGAATTTAGCTCTTCTTTTCCCGTCTCTTCTGTATTTAACTTAGTGTTCAGGTGTCACATTGTTTCACTAGTTTCCGGAAAGTTACTGGATTCTCTATACTCAAAATTCTTGCGTTTGTCTTCTACAGCTCTGTTTATTTAAGCAATTAATCCTACAAGTTTTGATCTCTGAGAATGGCAGTGGAACTTAGGATTTGTCCTTTGTGAAGTGATATGGACTCAGTGGTCGCCTTATATTCCGGTTTGGCTTGTGTTTCAACTTGAAATTTTTGTTGGCTGCTTTGCGTTCAGCATGTCATTGAGCCGTCCTCATGATTATCTGCTAGAAAATTTTCCTGGTTACTTCTGTATTTGCAGTTTCCAAGGTACATATTCACCAACGTTGGCAATGACTGCACCAGCCAAAGGAAGTTCTGCTGGCACACAGGACAAAAATCCATTGCTAGGTACTCTAAATTACACACACATTTTCAATTTAAGCATTTCAACGCTCAAGTGTTTTGGTTCTGTTTTAGATCAGAAGACTTTAAAGAACCTGAAAAAGTATTACAAGTAGAATTCACTTATGTGGTAATCATAATCAACAATGTGAAGGTGTTGCTTGAGGCAAACCAGTTTATTGGATGTTTTCAGAATTTTATAAAGATAATAAATCAGCAAGAAGGCCTTCTTGATAGTCATGTGGTGTCTTTCGTAATTTGGAAGTCATAGTTAATGATATCACTTCTCAAAACCATGTTTATCTCCTAATTATGCTATACCTCAGATTTTCCTGGAAACAGATCTTGTTTGACTGCTATGAGTTTCTCTTCGCATAGATCCAAATCACTAGATATTATTTGCAGTACTATAACCAACTTTCAATGTCTCTCTAACTTTCTAATATCAATGGATTACCTGTAGACAAGGACATGGGAAAGGAATTCCTCAGTTCCTGGAAGACCATGTCAATAACAGAAGATGACCCCATGGATTTTAACTTTGATCTTCCTGCCAATAACAAAAAGAATTTCAACTTTGAGAAGTTGTGAGTGCTACATGTACTTTATGGTCCTTATATGCATGTTTTCCCGTGAGAGTCATGGTGAAGAATTTTTGTTCAATCATGGCCTATATTTTCCAATCTGATAGATTGCATCATTAAGATGACGTTGCTTGACAATGGGACATCTTCTCTAACCTAGTTCTGTTTCTTTCTCTGGGTTCAGGGATATGGGTTTCAGTCTGGATGGTGATTTTGGAAAGTTATCATCATTCAAAGTGGATATGCCAGACTTTGATTTCTCGAGCCCATCCAAGAAAACTGAGAAAACAAAAGAAACTTCTGATGATAAACCCAGCGGAAATTCCAAACAGAAAAAGGATCTGTTTTCCTTCTCCTTTGATTTTAATGAGTATGAATTCATAATATTATTTTCTGTTGAAAAACCTTGCCTATGCCAATTCTGGAATGACTTTGGCAGCATTTTTTCTTCTGAAGCAGACTAGATGACTTTGATATTGATTCAAGTTTACGAAAGAAGGGGAGTGACACCTCAACCAAGACTATGGACCGTAACGAAGTTCCTACTGAAAGGAAAATGGATGATTTTGACGCTTTGGAGTTTGATTCCGACTTACTGACAAATGGACAAACTACCTCGGTGGGGAGTTTAGATGTCAGAGCAACTGCTTCAGAGAAGAAAGAGAAACATAGTTCAAAAACTTCAGATACTGTGGTAAGCACAAAACAAGCTGCACTAGAGAGCATGGAAAGTTCTATGGTGGGATCGCCACAATCTCCAGAGACAAGCAACTCCAAAACTGATAGAATCTGTCTAGAACTTCAATCGTTATGCACTTCCCCAGATAAGACGTCATGCCCCATGATTGAAGAAATAGATGAACAACGCCCTTTGCATGAGACCATGGCACCATTGCCATCACATACTTTTGAGGCTGCACTGACTGCCGTAGCGGGAGAAACTGGTCCAGATGTCCATGAATTCTGCAGGTCTGACGCAAAAGAAGACTCTGCTGGAAGTCCAGATCAGAATGCACATGATAGTACTAATTGCACCTTGGCATCCAGTCACGAGGGGATAGAACCAATTTCATCTCAGTTATGTACTGCTGAACAAGACATAATTGGCCACGAACAGAACGAAATGGGTACAGATACTGTGGTGAAGATTATGGATCAGAGTAGAACAATACTAATTGATCCAGATAAAGGATGTTCTCTAACAGCTCTCTCAGGAAAATTACCACCAGAAACCTGTGTCAGACAAAATGTCCAGATGCAAGATCCATGCATAAAGCTTCTCATGGCTCCATCCCGCAGGTCAGGAAAACCGAAACTCTTTGGTTTATTCCCTAAGTGTTGTGTTATTGTCATCAAGAGTGATAAGTGTCATTGATTCAAAAAGAAAAAGGAGTGAAGAGCTTATCTAAATCAACATACTCCTGAAGGAAAATGATTATCACAAGTTTAAATCATTTAGATAATTGGTAGCTGGACTCTTCAATCTTACAAATGTCGCTTGTTGGCGATGTTTATGCAGCATATTTGGTTTGGCTTTCATCTCTATAATTTTTCTGGTACTAACCTTCAATAGTGAAGGACTCATGTAACTGCTCAGTTTTGTGAACTTACTTACCTCAGGATGCTGAAACTCGATGATTCAAAGACCACAGAGAAGGCAGGAGGACTCATTCGCTCCAGAGTTTTTAAGAGACCTGATCAACCTGAATCTCAGGTCCTTAAAACTTCCCCACATCGGTTGGAATTTCCAACATCGAGAAGGTAAACCATAAATCCTTCAGTACATTGATGATATTGTGATCTTTTCACTATTCACTCGTCTTCAATGTGTTAATGCAGTGCTAAAAATGCCCAAACTGAATTCAAATATTCTAAAACACTCAGCAATGTATCACCGAAAGCTGATCATGCCAACACAGATTCTGGAAGGAATGTGTCGAATGACAGTGCTAAGAGGTACTTGGTGAACTTATATACTTGCTGCATAAACTTCTCTTATATATTTCTGTAAAACAATATTTAAGCCTGGGAACAACATGATTATTTTATCAGCAGTTCTCACGGGACGAAAATCCGCAGGGACCATTTAAATCCCGATACTGTGACTGTGGGCAATGAAACTAAACTAGACGATTTTTCGAAGCTGCAAGATAAAAGTACGACTAAAGAGAGGCCCATCATGCAGATGGGTGATAAAGATTCATGGTGAGACAAACTAACTCGGATCTATTGATCTTCTTCTATATTTGGCATTGCTCTTGACTCTGATAAACATTTTTTTTTCTATGGCTATGGTGGGTTACACCATGGGCATTGACCCGACAGAAAATTGTTATTCCAGTTGCTTTTCCCCCCTTGATTTGGGATAGAAGATCCTTTTGTTTTGCATCATTAAATGCTTCTCTCGTTTTCAATGATTTAGCTGAGGCAGATACATGGGAACTAGAAACAATTACCATAATGTGTCTCTTGTTTTCAATGGTTTAGCCCTGAAAACGCTTTGGATTTTGCACAGCTCCCAAGTTGACGCCTCTAGCCCAACTGAAAAGACGAGTAAACTTTTGAATTCTAGAACATGTTTGCATAAGCCCGAGGTCTCATCTCTTGAAAGGCTTAAGGTTGGAAAGATTGCGTCAAATGTTACCGGGGTGAAAACCCTGAGGTAGGAAAACACAAAACGATATCTGATACATGACATTATGATAAGGTCAATTTAATCGCTGAAATTTCTCCTATTATAGGAATGTTGGAGCAACTAAAGATCAATCGGACACCACATTGCACCAGCAAGTTAACTCTTCAATAAATAAGGAGCAAAATATGATACATGCTCCTAGGAAGAAGAGCTCTGAGATTCATCACTCGTTTGCCAGAGACAAAACACCAGTGCTGCAGCTCTTTTCATTGAAGAGGAAAGCTCTTGATGAGGTCTTGTCATCTAGAAACCTTTCTTACATATTGATCTTAGTGTTTCCACATACTGCTCTAGGTGAAACTATGTATCAATCTTTAAAATTAACCCAAAGTTTTTTTCATTTCCCAGGACCCAAATGTAGGTGTATCGCCATTGAAGCCATTCAAACGCGTCTCTGCGTCCCCCGGCGAAAGCAGGTCCAGTTGTGCTTTCTCAATCTTGATATATTTGCCTGATTTGTTCTGTGTCAATGGGGATAAAATAAGAGCCAAAACTTCACAGGAATCCTGATAAGTTATTGCATAGAGGTGATGAGGGAAAGGTAAGATTTTTTCTGCGATTACAAAAACGCTATATGTATGTGTGAAGATGTAGGTCAAAACCCTCTTAACCTTTCAGTTATCACAAATTGTTTTACCAGTTTTGTAGCCAAGATAACAAAACGGAGAGCAGAACAAAGAACCTTACTTGCAACAATAGTCCGGAGCGTGGGCTGGAAGCTCGTCAGCAGATAAACCTGGCAGAACTAGAGATCCCTGTAACAGAGAACGATGATAATGTGGCAAAGGCTGAAGCATATGCAAAAGAGCTTGAGAATGTAATAATAATAAGAATCACATATAGAAAAGGTCTTCGGGTGTACATCAACTCACGGGGGCATAACCATGATTTCTTTGCATGTATATATATACATATGCAGATTTGCAACATTCTCAGGAAGAAACAGGAGGAAGCCAAAGAGCTACTTGTTCGCGCTGTAGTGAACAACAATAACCTGCTGATGCTCAACCATCCACTATATGAACAGAAGATATCCTTGCCTTCACGATATAGCTAAATGTCATTGTTGCTGTCATAAAAATAATGCTGCTTTTTGCGTTTTCCCTTAATAATCAGAAACATCCGCGTGGTTCAGAAATTTGCTGCCAGATTGACTTCCAAGGAACTTCCTATGCAGTTTTCACAAACAATGGTTACTTAAGAAGGTACTCTTCTTCTCCTTAATACTGATTGTCTGAGCTTTGAAATATTTTCTTTTTATTGCAATGCGATTCGTAATTTTTGTGGTTTTTCCTATTAATCTAAGTGGAAGTTTCCTTCACAGAGTGGAGTTGGTCCGCCTTGAAGTTGCGAAACCATCGTCGATTAGGAACGTTGACACCACAATATCCAGAGGTACGCATGTAGAATTTCTATCTGTGTTCACCGGTTGATGAAAAGGTCAAACTTTGGGACGTACATAAATCTGGTGAGATGAACGAGCACTATTATTAAAGAAAAAAACGCTTCCTTGTCGAACTCTATCCAATTCAAAAGAACTTGAAAGGAATAAGCGCTGCTCGGGTTTGCAGTTTTTTTAAACAAATTCGGGTTCATTAAAAAAAACAAATACGTATGAATACAACACGTGTGGTGACAAAAAAAAAGAGAGAAATAATACCCCACACGTGTAGGTGATCGGCAGACCAAGCATATTTACCTGTAGATTATTATACGTATTTAGTTTTTCATCTAGTAGATTGATTGATGTATGCGTATGCCCACTGAAATGTGTGAAAAAGTCTGAGGTGATAGACAAAAGCATAAATCAGATATGACTGACATGTAGTGTGACGAGAAATGGATTGGGATGAAAGAAGTAAACTCATGAAGCTTTTTAACTACCACCGAGGAGGTGATTGGTTTGGAGTTTATCCTTAATGAGATCACTTATCTCTCACTAGTGGAACCCTCTTCAACAATCAATACTGTACACAGTTTTTACTTTGACGGAAGTGAATAAAATATATAATATCTCCAAACTCCAACTCTATTCTTGACAAAATTCGGAGTTATGGATATTCATGATTGTAATCTCGGATTACGGTAATAATATATTCAAACGTATATACCGTTTAGATTTTGAAGATTAACCAGACATCTCTAGTGTTTTTTCGAGTCGGTGCAAACATTTAGATCTCTGTAAGGTTTGGGTTTGGTGGACTAACATGTTGAAGTGTCCGTCTCCCTCTCCGACTACCCAATCCATTTCGGCCATAGTGCTCTTTACTTGCATTATGCCTTTGTTTCTTAGTTTAGTCCTTTCCCTTTCCTTCTTATTGGATTTCTCTGAATCGGATTCCTCGTTCGTTACCTCGTATATTTGTATTTATTATATGTGTATATATATACACATAGTTGCAGATGCATACACACAAAAGATGCGGTTGATCAGTTGTCGTTGTCATAAAATGGGAATTGACGGTAGAAAAAAAAGAGAGTAAAATCTCGAAGTCATACAGGCATCCGTGTCATCGGATTGTGACGGACTAGTTAAAAATGTTACCGCCAATACCAAAAAAGGGTTGTTACTTTTGCTTTATTTGTTTATTATATTTTTGGTGTGAACCTCGGAATTAAATATTAGGGTTTGATTTATGTGCATTTTTATTTAGATTTGAAGCCGTCTCTTAAATAGTGTGGAGAGACCACTCTCCCACTGTTATACACGGATAAGATTTCGGTATGATATATGTATATATATATATATGAAAGGTTACAAATGTATGATGTAGCTGATGAAAATAGATATATATATTTTTGTTAAACAGGAAGTTCAATGTAGCCTTACATCTCTCCGGGCCCGGAATTTGACCAGGTGTTTATTCCGAAGAAAGAGTCCCTTTCCAGTTGGGATTCGATCCTGGGATAGAAGACACTTCGTGCCCACCAGTTACCAGTCGAACTAGCCCGTTTGGTTTGATGAAAATAATGTCGTAGGTTGAGTTGAAACAGGTGCAAAAACGTCGAGGAAAAGAAAAATGTCCATTAGGATTCAACGTCCGTATCTCGTTATTGGTCACTCAAAGTCAACGTCATATGTACAGATGAACTTTGACTTTGAGAATGAAGCTGATTCAAGTGTTGAATGCGACTGCAAGCCATGCTATAAGTACGGGAGATCATGTTTGTGGTCACCACTATAATATATATCACATAATATACATCATCATCACTATACATACATGCATGGATGGTGGGCTTCTCATGCTTATCCTTGAGTTGTATTTACTACGATCTATATCAATTATCATATTATAATGTTCCATACCATACTCGCCAATTCATTAATAAAGTGCAGTCTATACATAGCCTACTTGGCCCCAAAACAAAAAGTGGCCGAACAAGAAAAACCGTCGATGACAATGGACAGCTCACACGAGCACTGAGCTCAAACAACACCCACGGCGAAAAAGGTCGATCGAGAGATCCCTAACAAAACTCTATATATAGCTTCACATGAAGCTCAAACAATATTCACTCTCTCTCTCTCTCTCTCTCTCACACTCATTGAGTAAGGTGATATTGAAATGGCAAAGTTCCGTTTCTTGATGATAATTCTTCTGCTCGTCATTATTACTGTCGACGAAAGCCACGGCCTTGAACGGTCAGTGAGAGGGAGGAGAATTCTGAGAGATCCAACAGTTTCCATGAGGCAGATTAAGGCACCGGCTGATGAGGTTGGTGGCATGGCGAAGAACAAGTCTCCCGACCGGTTAAGCCCCGGAGGACCCGACCCTCAACACCATTCTCTCCAAACTTAAAAACCAATATACTTGCTCTGCAAACTCTTGATTGCGTTTGCGTTTAAGATTGAAGGGCCAAAATCCACGTTTGCGTTTGAGATCATATTGTATTATTTACGACATGCATGTGATAATAAAAATGCCCTTGTGTTGTTTATGGTGTAAGAGAAGCCTCTGATTTTGTTGATGCACACGACGTATATGTGATATATATATACACACGTCTAGATTGTATACGTTGACCACAACATAAATACAATTCTTACTGAAAACACCAAATCTCATATGATCGGCATTTCCTTTAAAAAAAATGTATAAAGTCTATATATAATTAAGGTCGTTTCGCATTAGTAATATTCTCCCCTAAACACGGTTAACTGCATAGGTCCTATTAGATTCAACGCATTGGACACCAAGTTTCATATTTCTTATTCCTAACATATGTGTGTGTGTTTATGTTTCAGATAATATATATATATATATATATATATATATATA